ACCAATATCTTCCGTTCTTCACAATGGCCTACAGATCTGCTGTTAACGAATCGACAGGCCAGACACCAGCCAGAGTCCTATTCGGACGCGAGATGCGACTACCTTGTGATCTAAGAGTTTGGGTGTCGACTTGGAGAAGATGTAGCAGGTGAAGATTATGTGATCGAATTACGAAGAAGAATGGACGATGTACACGAGTTGGTCCGTTCCCATCTCCAGATCGCTAGTGACCGAATGAAGAAACGGTACGATACACAAGCAGAAAAGGGGTGTTTTAAGAAGAACGACAAAGTCTAGCTTTATAATCCCAAAAAGCGAAAAGGCTGTTCTCCCAATTTGCAGCAGTTTTGGGAAGGTCCATACCTCATTATGGAAAAGATCAATGATGTCATATACCGAATAAGCAAGATTCCGAGGGGAAAGCCGATGATAGTACACCATAACCGGCTGGCGTCTTTCGAAGGTGACTACGACGTAGATGAAGAAGTGGAAGTAAACCAAGTCCAAGATGTGTCTGACCTCACGTTTGAGGAATTCATGGGTGCCTATGGAGGTACCGGTAAAGCAAGGCATGGTGTTACCACTGAAGAAAGGCAAGATCTACTCGCGCTTCCCGATGACTGCTCGCTGGCGCTTACTATCCCGGCCAGTATCAAAGACGCACCAGGATTGGCATCCGTCTTTCGAGGGAAGTTTGGTCGAGTTGCAGAACTTCAATGCCAAGTGCCAGCTCCCGGTAAAACCTTGAAACTCCAAGATGCATCATGTTACCTTTTCTACCTGGTAACAAAAAACACTGCCCGTGACCAACCTACCTACCGAGATGTATGGGAAGCCTTACTTCAGTTGAGAGAGCACGTACTAGAGTCCGACGTGCAAAAGTTAGCCATGCCAAAGTTGGAGTGCCGCCAATTAGATTGGAGGGTTATCCGAAATATGGTGGAGGAGATGTTTAAAGACACCGAAGTCCAGGTGTTAGTCTGTTGCAATCCGCATAGTTACTGGTGCGGAGAGAAAACCGTCCCTTGTCATTTTTATACAACTGGGAGTTGTAAAAGAGGGCCCAGTTGCCGATACCAGCATACCGTTCCAGTCCCGACAAGGTTCCAGGAGGAACCATCTTTTAAGAGGGGGGCAATGTTACGATAACTATTGCGTTTAAAACTATAAATATATTATGACTAATTCTGTTTTTGTTCCAGTCGATTCGAAGTTGTTTACAGAAATATCTAGACCCCAATTTTGGTGAGTCATCCACGACTCGAAGTTGAAAAAACTAGTCTCAGCGGTTAATTGCCTTCACCGAAAAAAACAGTATATTCCATGGAGTTCCGTGCAAAAGAAGGTCACCGAATTTTCCAGATAACGGAAGTTTTTGTATATAACCGAAACATTTTTTATTTTGAAGTTAGTGAAGTAAGTAAATTCGCGCCGAGTATTTAAATTGTATCGAACGTAACATAAATTTGTAAAGTTAATTAATAAATTAGTAATTAGTTATCGTGAGTTTTAATAAATTAGAATATAGACGATAAATTAGAATAAAGACAAACAAATTAGAACTATAATAAAATCAGAACAATAAACTAAATTTTCGTTGTAAAAATTCATGGAAAACTCTTTTATTATGATCCTAAAGAAGGAAAGGTTGGTGTACAAAATTATTAATGAAGAATAAATTAAAATTCTGTAATAAATAATAAATTAAATTTTCGCTTGTAAAAATTTGTCGAAAACTGTTTTCTTAAGATCTTTTTATTAGAATTTATTTTATAAATTAAGCGTTGTGCCTCGCTTATTTTTTCGCGCTGACGAAAATAACGCTTTCTTCTGAAGGTGCACGCCAACGGCACGGCGACGCGATTGAAAACCGACTTTCACATACCGGCGACGGCGCGATTGAAGGTGGAAGAACACTTTCACCAGTAAAACATTGTTTTTTCTTTAACGGTTTCGCAAACTCCGGTACACTTTTGAATAGAATTCTTTTTTTAGCCAACAACTCCGGCTCGCGACGCGCAGAACGTTGTACGGTTTTCATTGCGAAAAGAAGCGACTATTTGAAATTGCATAACTTAAACGGGATTATATACAACAAACCGAACCCAAGATAGGCAACGCGAAATGGTGGGTGAAACAGGATCTACACTTGCTGTAACAAAGAAAGGTGAATACTCGAAGGCGATGTAAGCTCTCGCAAATGAAGTGAATACTCTTCCATGACCTACGTAGACAACAAAGAAAGGGTACTGACCGGCTATAGTTGAGTTTATGTATGTCTGCACAACTTTGCGCTTATTGTTGGTTTTTCACGTCATTTTTTTTTATTTTTGAGGTTTTTTTTTCAAAATCCACAAGGAAAAATTCCTGTAGCTGGCTGTATACCACGTATAACAAAAAGAGGTTAATCTTTGTAAATGGGTATATTTATTTAAAAAAACCCTTAAAAGGGCCACATCAATAAAACAAACGTTTTCGGACTACACAGTCCATCATCAGGTTATTAAAATCGAAAATGCCTAAAAATAAGTATAAACCATTTAGTTAAAACAAACGAGATTTTGAAATTTTGACTATGGTTGAAAAGCAAAAGATGGTTATACTTACTAGGTCATAATGCCTGAGCCACCAAAATATTAGGGTAAAAACCCTTTAAATTACATTTAGTTATGAAATGTTGTACATTGTGTTATAAAATAACTGTGATGTTCTATATTAAATTAAATTTGACTAAAGGTAACACATGGCTCAATTGGGTTCCAGAGCCGGGTGAGAGAGAACCTCTGCACTCGGAGAACAACGTGGAATTGATTGACAAGATACTGTTGAAGGATGAAGATAACATATGTTACTACTTCAATTTCTTCAGCCTGTAGATTTCCATCTTACTAAACTTAATTTTATTAATTTTTCACCATAGGAGCATTCTTAAATAAAGTCATTTAAACATGAGGTCTGATATTAGCTTCAAATATTTGTTATTTAATTTTTACCTTGTCCTAGATGTGTTAAACATAAAAGGATAAATTTCATAAATACAAGCTAACCCAAAATTAAATACACTTTAGACCACATTCCATACGACGAAAAGCAACATAAGTTGCCTAAGGCACAGGTCATTATATTAATCATGACTATAAAACCATCATTGATTTGACATCTTTTATACCCTAAATTAATAAATAAAAAGTTTTTAAATCCCAACACCTAGATTGTTGTTATTTTTTAAAATCATCAAAACTTGTTGAATCTTTTGGCTGTAGTAATACTATGTACAACTTTTATAGTTTTTGTTGCATTGACATTCTGTTATCTTCATCCTTCAACAGTATCTTGTCAATCAGTTCCACGTTGTTCTCCGAGTGCAGAGGTTCTCTCTCACCCGGCTCTGGAACCCAATTGAGCCATATGTTACCTTTAGTCAAATTTAATTTAATATAGAACATCACAGTTATTTTATAACACAATGTACAACATTTCATTACTAAATGTAATTTAAAGGGTTTTTACCCTAATATTTTGGTGGCTCAGGCATTATGACCTAGTAAGTATAACCATCTTTTGCTTTTCAACCATAGTCAAAATTTCAAAATCTCGTTTGTTTTAACTAAATGGTTTATACTTATTTTTAGGCATTTTCGATTTTAATAACCTGATGATGGACTGTGTAGTCCGAAAACGTTTGTTTTATTGATGTGGCCCTTTTAAGGGTTTTTTAAATAAATATACCCATTTACAAAGATTAACCTCTTTTTGTTTTTTTTTTCCTTTATTTTTAGTCCTATACCCACCTTCCGACCACTCTAATGAAAGGTCTTGACGCCAGGAATACGAATATGTTATTACTTTGAGAAAAAATTAACGCGTAAGGCGGTAAAACACTAAAAAGCGTATTTTTAGTCCTACATCACCTTTCGACCACTACAATGAAAGGTATTGATGCCAGGAATACGAATATGTTATTATTTTTTAGAAAAAAAATCACGCATATAGCGGTAAAAAGGGTATTTTTTGTCGTGTTCTACTTTCCAACCACTCTAATGAAAGGTTTTCATGTCAGGAATACGAATCTACTATAAGAGAATGTCGAGGGCAAAAAAACTTGTTGAAGCTGCACTGAAGCAAAACAATGAAAACTACTTAATTCTCACAGAAGAATCTATTGAAGATATGCCTATGATACTTTTTGCTGATAGTACGTCAACATCTGATACTTTAACAGGAAATATCATGGAAATTGAGCCACTTGCCAGTGGTACATCTGAGGCTGCCACAGAAGTGTTCATCAATACTGAGCCATTAGATATTATTGCGCCTATATCTAATACTCATGCACAAGAGATTATGACTGTTGCGAGTCTTAATAATGATTCGTCTGTTTTCTTGAAATCTGTTACTGAGGAATGCTTAGCTTCAGTTACAACGTACCATTATACAGCACAGAAATATAACAATACTAGCTTGATTGACAAATATTTAAGTGATGATAGCAACTGCATGAATGCACAACTTGTACCTTATTCTGAACACTCTGATTCCAACAGTGAAGAATAACCTAGTAGAATTAAGAGCAGAAAAAGGTGTCAGGTAAATAAAGCTACATGGACAGATCAAATGGACAAGCTTCACAGGGAAAATGGGCAAGAGTATACTGGGCGTAAAAAAATTGAAGGGAACTGGGAAAAAACACAAAAAAATAAACGAGTTCTTAAACCTCGATGCAAATGTAGGACAACTGATAGAAGTGCTTTAAAATGTAGCGAAGTTTCAGAGGAAGAAAGGAAAACTATATTTGAGTTGTTTTGGAGAATGACTTGGGGGGAAAAAAGATTTTCGTGAATGGTCTTGTGCAAGAGATACCTACAAAACGTCCAAGAGACAGAAAAGAGCCATTATTAACAAGAAGAAAAAGCACAATGGTATTTAACTTAAACTTGACTAACGAATGCCGCGTGAGAGTTTGTAAAACGATGTTTTAAAACACTTTGTGTCTTACCAAAATGACTATCTGGAACTGGAAAAAAGACAAAGAGAATATTTCTCATAAAACAAATCAACACGCAACAAAAAATCCCTATGAAGTAGAAGTGAAATCACTTAAAGATTTTTTGAACAATATTCCAAAAATGGAATCCCATTATTGCCGCAAAAGTTCGACCAAGCCTTATTTGTTGCCATAATGGACATCAAAAAAAGCCTTGTACAATTTCTACACATTAGACTGGTGCACGCCACGGAATACCAAACCTGTTTCAATTGCTAAATTTAGCAACACCTTACAAATTGAAAATATATCACTGTTTAAGCCAAAAAAAGATGAATGTGAAAAGTGCCTCTCTTGCAAACTCAGAAATATACCTGACACAGAATACAAGGAGCACATAGAAAAAAAGAATGAAGCTAGACTTGAAAAAGAACAGGATAAAAATACAGAAAAAATTGTATTCACAATGGACACGCAAGCTGTGTTATTGGCACCCAAATCGAATGTGTCATCTCTATATTATAAAACTAAGATATGCACGCACAATTTCTGTATATTTAATATAAAAAATAAAGACGGATTTTGTTATCTCTGGAACGAGACCGAAGGTGGGTTATCCTCTGACAATTACGCTACCATAATTGTCAAGTTTATCACGGAGAAACTTTTGCCGAGTATCCAGAGAGAATCTGGACAGGATACTAAAATTATATTGTACAGTGATGGATGTACAGCACAAAATAGAAACGTAATATTGGCAAATGCGTTACTAAACGTGGCAACATTAGACAATGTCACAATTCAGCAAAAGTATCTAGAGGTAGGCCATACCCAGATGGAAGCGGACTCAATGCATGCCACCATAGAGAGGAAACTGAAAAACAAAATAATTCATGTACCAGCTGAATATGCACAAGTTTGTGTTGGAGCTCGCAAACATCCTAAACCTTACAACGTATCTTACCTAACCCATGAATTTTTTAAATCCTTCGCAAGTTTACAGTTTTATAAGTCAATAAGACCAGGAAAAGCCATAGGAGATGCCAAGGTACTTTTAATGTTAATTTTGTTTGGTCTTCTACAGACACAGAAGACGAAAACATTGTTAAATTATTAATGTTTTGTTTTTAGGTCACAGATATTCGTGCCCTACAATATAAACAAGGGAACCTGTACTTTAAGTTACGGTTTACAGATGAATGGCAGTTACTACCACAGCGATGTGATAAAAGGGTCTCAGTTAAACCTATTGAAAGCTTACCGAATCTTCATGAAAATCGGCTTAAAATAAGTAGTCGTAAATTCAAAGACTTACAACAACTAAAAAGTACCTTGCCGGTGCCACATGAAGCCTGATAAATAAAATACCTTATGGTATAATAAAAATAAAATACTTGATTATAAAAAAAATAAACAAAACTATACTTACAGATTGATTTTATTTTCCTATAGAGGTTCCATAATACGATGCAGAGAAAAATGGTCAACTCCGATTATTTAATATTTTCTTTTAATTACAAACAGGGTAACTCCAAAAATTAAAATAATTGTTATTTAATGAAAATATTTTGTATGCTTTTTAGTAACTTCAAAGTGCAAAATAAATAGAAAACAAATAGATTTTTGGAATATTGATATTATAAGTATTAATTTTTTTAAGAAGTTTTTTTGTGTTCCTGTAAAGTTTTAAAAAACGGAGTTAGCCGCTTTGCAAGTTAAGCCATCGATATCTGGAAAATACTGAAAACCAGGACGTTTTTGATGCTGACAACGAAAATATCGAAAAAACTAGTAAGAGCCACACCGAATCGGTGAGTACAATTACACTTAAATACGACCTAAAAGTAGCAAAAGTCGAGTTAGGGGCTTCAAATCGGATAATAAGTGAACTAGAACGAACGATAAATAACCAAGATTTTATCATTCAACTTTTAAAAGGCCAAACCAACTTTGAGGTTAACAATACCAATAAAGGAACGTCTCTCAACAACAATAAAAGCGACGTTGCCATCTTCAATAATAAATCATCAAAAGCAAAACACAATGAAGTAGGTAAACAAGAATACGTTTCAAATAATATCACAAAACGACAGGTAGTACTGCTGTTCTTGAAGCTCAGACCGCTACAAAAATTAACGAGATTCAAAATTTAAATAAAAACAAGAATAAATCAATTAAAATTATTGGAGACAGCAACACAAACGAAGAAGTTTCAGCGAGTGACAAAGTGTGGGTATATGCCACAAAATACAAAACATCTTATACCATGGAGAGTATGCAAAATTATTTGGAGATAAAGTTTCCTGGACGCGAATTCTCATGCACCTTATATGAAAATAAAGTTGCTGGAACCAACTCATTTAGAATTACGGCCGACGCAGATCTTCAGGTACAACTTTTTCAAATAAGTGAGTACTTTTTTCGTAGAAAACGCAATTTCTACAAACCTTCTAAGTTTAATGGATCCACTGCAGGAAGACGACATAACTCTTAATGACAGAACTAACCATGCTACATCTTACAAGTTGTGCAATTTAAATGTACAAAGTTTAGCAAATAAGATAGATTTTTTAAACATGTTTTTAGATAAATATTGTCCAAATATATTTTGTTGTTTCTGAACATTGGGCGTCTTCAGATAAATTAGAATCATTAAAACTGGCTAACTATCATCTCTTAGGAAGTTACTGCCGGCATCAGCAGTCTCAGGGAGGTGTTGCGATATTTATCTGTAATGATTTGTATAAGTACTGACTATAATTGAGTCTTTGTCACAATATAATATAGAATTGTCATTTGAATGTGTAGGTATAAGCTTATTAAATGACTGTTGCTGAGTCCTAACAATATATAGATCTCCCAATGGTAGTGTAGATTTTTAGGTGCTTTTCTGAAGTGTTAAGCAATGTACATAATAAATTTAAGCAAATAATTATTTGAGGTGACTTAAACATTAACGGGCTTGTCAATACCACTCATCTCAGATGTTTCTCTGATCTCCTTGAAAGCTTTCAACTAAAATCAGATATATCAGTTGCAACCCGAATAGCAAAATACGGAAACATAATAACCAAATCATCTATCGATTACATAATAACAAACTTAGATTTTCGAACGCTAAATATATGTATAACGGATAAAGCCATTTCTGATCATTCAGTTCAAATACTGAAATGGTAAACAATAGAACAGGCACTTACATCTGATGAAAAAATATCTCGTGGCATATTTAGTCAACTTTCAGTAGCAGAATTTAAATCTTTATTGAGTAAAATCGATATTGATTTCTCAAAATTTGTATCAGTAGATGAAATGTTCAAGTCCTTCTGGGATGAACTAACATATGCATTTAATACAGCATTCCCACTGAAACGTGTTAAACCAAATCACGGAAAAAGTGAACATAACAAAATAAAGTTTGCAATTGAGTTAGAATATCGGAACTTAAACATGACAACTGGATTAGAAAAAACTCTAATATTATCAGCAACGAAAATTATAAGCAAAAAAAACAAATAATTAACCACAAAATTAAACTTGAAAAACAGAAGCACTTTTCGAATTTAATCAATAACTCCAGTAATAAAACAAAAACCATGTGGCAACTAGTAAACACAAAATTAAATAGAACCAAGAAACTTGACCTTCCAAAAAAACTGGAATACAATAATAGGCAATTAGAGTGTCCTAAAGAAATATCTAATGTTTTTGCTGAGTATCTAATTGATTCTGTAGAATCCATAGTTCCAAAAACTGGTCAATGGAATAAAGATAACGATACATTAACAAGACGTACACCTAATGAATCGCTTTATTTTTGTCCAGTCATTGAAGACAATGTTTTGGAGGTAATTAGTTCTTTTAAAAACAAGAAGTCCACAGGGTTTGATGACATGCTGGTTTCACTCTTAAAGGAATGTTCATTACAATTAGTTCCTTTTATAACTGAATTAATTAACTATTCCGTGAGTACCGGAAAATTCCCAGATATTTTAAAAACATCAAAAGTAGTACCGATTTATAAGAAAGGTTCACGAAACTTATTGTCAAATTACAGAGGCATATCTATTTTAAGCGTTATCGCAAAAACTTATGAAAAAGTAGTGTATAATGTAATTACGTCATTTTTAAATAAAACCAGAATCCTTAGTAATAAACAATATGGATTTCAACAAGAATGTTCGTGTGAAACAGCTACAGTAGATTCAATTCAAGTTATCCATGAAAAAATCGATCAAAATTTGTACACTTTTGGAATATTCTTTGATCTCTCGAGGGCCTTCGAATGTCTTGATCCAGTGTGTTTGAAAGAAAAACTTATAGCTATAGGCATTCGCGAACCAGTTAACTCATGGATCTATTCGTACACAACAAATAGACCTCTTTTTGTGTCTATTAATAATATTTCCTCGGAAATATACTACAGTAATTTAGGAATACCCCAGGGTGGCATATTGGGTCCACTACTATTTTTACTTTATGTAAATGATATGCCTGAATATATCCCAGAAAAACATATATTCATGTATGCAGACGATACCACCATACTTGTCTCAGCGGAATCCGTCGAGTTAGCACAATCTCAGATCAAAAATATAATACTGTCGTTTAAAAACTGGTGCGACCGAAATAATTTGCTAAAAAATCTGGATAAGACAGTGTGTATTCAGTTTTCTTATGGTGAAAGAAAAAAAACTACTTCTTTGTTCGAAATTGCACACAATGTGGTTATTAAATCAGTTAACAGTACTACGTTTCTTGGCACGATTGTGGACAACACTTTAAATTTTCGTGAACATGTAAACAATACCTGTTTAAAATTAAATAAATCATATTTCGCGATATTGTCGTTAAAGGACGACGTTAATATAAATGCGTTGGTTACACTATACTATTCTCAAGTGTATTCCATAATCAGTCAAAACATTATTGTTTGGGGACAGGCATCGGAAAGTTTGAGAGTATTTATCCTACAAAAATGAATAATTCGAACAATATTTGGTTTACGCTTTACGAACAGTTGTCGACAATGTTTTAAAAATAATAATATTCTTACGCTTGCTTCAATATATATTTATAAATTACTATCACATACGTTCACTAAGTTAAATGTTCTTAAAACAGCAACTGACTTACACGCGTATAACACAAGAAATGCAAGGATACTTTATCTTCCCCATCATAATCACACAAATTTCAGAAAGTCTCCTGAATATGCATTCTCCCTACTTTTTAATAAACTACCGTCTAGTTTTAAAAATTTTAATTCACTAAGAAATTTTCAAAAAAAATTAAAACAATTCTTAATCAATTACTATTTATAACTGGGAATAAGCCACAATTAAAGATAAAAATACGTTTATTGACGTTTCAATTTCCAATTCGGAAATCGTTTTCGACACGATTTCCGAATTGGAAATTGAAACGTCAATAAACATATTTTTATCTTTAATTGTGGCTTATTCCCAGTTATAAATAGTAATTAATTTACAATGCCACAAGAAAATAGCTTCAGAACAATTCTTAATCAGCCATGCCTTTTATTCAGTACGTGAATTTACAGAATGTTTAACTGAAATTATTTAGATGATGCCCAATGTCTGTTGTATATTTTTATTTTTGTATTTTTAATATGTTTTGTGCAATTGTTAGCGACTTATTGTTTATTGTCTTTGTACTGTATATTACTTTTAATTGTAACTATGTATTATTTTAATGTTATATTGTAATTTTTGACATACCCTATGCATATATGTATGTAACAAAGGGCAAATAAAAATATCTATCTATCTATCTATCTACTAGACTCAATATTGTACATTTACACCATCACTGTAAATTCATTATAATCCACTTCTGATTCAAGGGGAATCATTTGTGCTATCTCCAATACCTCAGGAGAAGGAGATGGTGGTTTAGGACCACCTCCAGTTTTATTTAACTCTCTTCTCCACTGGGACATTTGCTTCTTGCAATTTATTTTGGCCAACTTCCACTGATTCATTAATTGTTTTTTATCTCTTGTTCTAACATTGGCAGCATTGAACTTTAAAATAAGTTGAATATTCAGTATCAAATTGTTTAAATAGATAAAAACATTTTTTAACCAACCATATAAATCTGTTAAATAAAAGGTTTTGATGAAGTGTATTTTTGACTCCAAAATTAGTTTGTTTAAAAAACAACTAAAAAATATCTTACAATAAGTTGGTTGTACATCTGTATTATTCTTATATGTTTGTATTATTCTGAGGTGTTTGTTATTTTAATAATTTATTGTTGTTAAGGTGTAACTTTTTAAAACTTGTGATTGTTATTTTAATAATATATTGTTTTCAAGATGTAACTTTGTAAAAATTGTAAGTAAATGGATGCCGTATATAAATAAATAAATATAATATTAAGTAAACACTTACCTCTCCGTTATTTGCAGCCATGCATTTAACTTTGATTTATTTGTGTTTGTGCTAAGGTCTTTATTTTCTATTATGTGTAAATAATATCCCACAATATTCTTCAAAAGATGCTGAAATTAACATATTTATATTTACAAGTAACATATTTAAATTTACACATTTATAAGTAAAATAAATCAGTTTGCTTACTTTTTCTTCACTTTTCCAGTTAACGCAATGTTCTCTTTTATTTGAAGCCATTTTACAATTCTTTTTTCCAATTTTAAAATACTCAAACTCAACATATAAGATATAAGAAGATAACAAATAAACATATATTTGGTGACAGTTGACGGTTTCAAAGACAAATCAAAATTGACGTATTTCACTCAATATGTTCTTGTTTTATGTATTTGTGCCAAATATTGCGACATTGCCAAACTATTATTTCGGAATAAAGTGGGAATACTTATAACGAGTTTATACAGAGTTTATTTGTAACAAATTTATTTAGGGCCGATTCTACAATTAAAGTATATACCTAGTATAAGCTATACGCAGTGTAATAACAAAAAATTGTGTTCTACAAGTTTAGCATTAGTTTGTTCTCAGTATAAACTAACAGATAACTTAGCCCCGTATTTAACGAGAGGCTAATTAACCAATAGCACACTACCACCTAGCCTAGCATTGAAACTTCCGTGTTGACGAGTAAAACAATGATTGGCGCATCACCTAGTGACCGGGCGCCTAACTATATATACATCCTAAAATAACAAGAAAAATCCTTATCCTATTCGCTGTGAGTTTCGCCGGTAGCGCTCTCTCGCGGTTTGAAACTTGTACTTTTCTTGTAAAATCAGTGTAAATGAAATATGACAAAACGAGAAAAATAGGTATTTATTTAAAAATACAAAATAATGAACTGAAATATTATGGTAAACTGATTAATGAACGAATACACAGAATTAATAGTAAAAGTAATTACGCCTTGTTATTTTATTCATTATAATTATAATATTTAAGATATAAGTTCTTGCGACTGGATGACTACTTACGCAAGAGGTCATTGAGAAAAAGAAGAAGATTATATGAAAATATTTAATGGTTAAAGCAAATATTTAAGGTTATAGACGCTTAAAACGTCTATATTCTGGTTACCTATACCTCTGTAACGTTGTAATTCATGTTTTTATTTTACATTTTTATTCTGTTTTTGCTCAGTTATTTTTTGTGTGCGTAGGCCTTAGTGCTTAGATATCAATTTGTTTTAATTCTTCTTCTTCTTCTTTCGTTTTATGGCCTCCACCTCCTAAATTTGTTTTAATTTTATCAAAATGGATATTACACATTATACTGGTTTTAAGTCTATATCACATGATATCCCATTTCAAACAGCTACACCAAAAAAGGGAAAAGGTTTAGTTGATGCAGGGCATGTACGCAATGTTTCGAAATATAATAGCTTTTTAATTTTACACCATACAAATATCATGTTTGCATTATAGGTTATTTACTTATTTTTCTCGTTGATAACAATAATCCATTTTTCTCTTTGAACTATTTTATGCTTGGCAACAGGAAATGAATAAAATTTACAATGACTGTTGTACCCAGTATTTTTACATGTATCATATATTTTTCTTTTTGAAAAATCCATATTCGCCATTATTTGAATGTTTACAAGTTAAATGCACAAAACTGCCACTAACAGCGTTGGTGAAAACTGTCAAATCCCCTCTACTCATCGGCTCACAGCGAATACGATAATAAATATTTTTCGTATACTTTTTGGGTTTTCTTGTTATGTTGAGACTATATTTATTTTACATTACATTAAAATGCCAAATGGTTAAAAAAATTAAAGAAAAATATAGAATAAAATCTTTATTTATAAAAATGTTACAAGAAATGTTATATGTGTTACAAGAAATATTAATAATAAAAGCCAAGTGTACTATAATTTAGTTTTCTTAATGCTGTGGCAAGAACTGGTCAGTATTTAAATAATTGTTTTGTCTTAGTATGTCAAGTTTTATGTGAATAAAAGCCTAATTCTGCAAAAGGCATTTTACTACAATTTTATTCTCATAATTCGCAAAGAATTCAAACATTGGTATATAACATTCAAGATTTTTTTAGAAAGCAATGAATCTAAAGATAAATCCCTAGAAGACAAAGATAATACATGCTTTTAATAAATTTAGTCTATAATTACATAAGCGAAGCAATCAATGGGGAAAACCAATTGCTTTTTTCACACATACTCTCACAGATTCTGAATGAAAACATGCAATTGAAAAAATGCAAATGCATTGAAGTATTAAAAAAATGCAGACATTATCTGGTAGGAAAGCAATTCAAACCAATCACAGATTAAATCACTATTTTTTTTATATAGAATGCTGGCATATATAAAATCTGACAAGGAGAACTAGCTTTACTTCACAAGAATTTATTAATTATCTACACTCTAAAGAAATATTTCAAGTAGAACAACACCATATAACCATGAAGGAAATGGTTAAGTTGAAAGATACAATGAGTTATATGGAAATTGGTGAATCTAGCATTGAAAACCAAATATTTAGACATCACTAAATGAAAAACTGCTTTACCAGGAGCTCTGTACTATATACGAAGTTTACTATTGAATTGTTATATTAATGAATCATGACAATGATGAAGATGAAAGTCCAAATAACACATTAGAGAATTCCACTACTAAATCAATACCAGATGTGACAGAAAATTTACCTGTTCAAAAACCTGATGATAATTATGAACCAAGATTGGAAAATTCAGATTTTCAATCTAGCTGTAAATCAGCTGGAGCTAAAAATAAACCAAGATAGTTGCAATATTTTGTTCACAAATAGGGAAGGAAAAATGTAGTATAATTTAGTGTTCTAAATGTTGTGACAAGAACTTGTCAGTAATTAAATAATTTTTTTTTGGAATTCTAATGTCAAATGAAAGCCTAATAAGCAACAGACAGCCGTCAGACATTCTGAGTTCTTTGTAGTACTTACATCCTAATCTAATAACACACACTACCAGCTGTCAGTGAGAACTCTTACTGTCTGGCGTTCTACTCACAGAAAGCCAGAACTCTGCTAAGTTGGAAACAGAAAAATTAAATGATTTAGTTCTAGAATGAACTTTATATACATTTATATAATATTTTTAGTCATATTTAAACCTATAAACCCAACAGTTAGCTCTAAGATTCTAAGATCCAGCACTATAAAGATGGAAAAATAACATTAAAAATAAAAAAATATGTAAAGTATTACCTAGTTGCAATAAAAACATGAAGTATTTTACAAAGTTAAGTTTCCAAACTCTATGTTACCAGTAACACTTTTCTACTAATATTTATATATTTATTGAGAGACATATTAAATACATTTAGATTTAGGTTGTTCTACAAAATGGAACATTAAAAGTACATAGATGAGACAAACCATGGTAATATGGTACTCTAAGACCAATCTCACTCACAAGAGAGCTCAGATCCCTCCTCGCACAGCTCAAAGACCTCTCCATATGATAGTGTAGTCATGGTCTGCTAATCTAATCCAACT